ATAAAACTACACTATTTCAATTCATTTTCTTAAGACTTTAACTCACTTGGGGTACCCGGCTACTTCAGTCAGCCTGTGACTCTAGATCAAGTAAGTTCAAGTAGAGATTATTTAAAAATAAAAATTTTTTAAAAAGACTTTAACTCGGGCGCCTGGGTGGCTCAGTGGGTTAAGCCTCTGCCTTCAGCTCAGGTCATAGTCCCAGGGTTCTGGGATGGAGCCCCGCATTGGGCTCTCTGCTCAGCGGGGAGCCTGCTTCCTCCTCTCTCTCTGCCTGCCTCTCTGCCTACCTGTGATTTCTCTGTGTGTCAAATAAATAAAAATCTTTGAAAAAAAAAGACTTTAACCCATTTGATATCTAAAACAAAACTTGATGCAAATAAAAAATCACTAACTATCCTTCAATCAAAACTAAGTATCCATAAGTGAACCAGCAATGAGCATCCATTAGAAATCAGAGGCAAACAATCGAATTAGAAGAGAGCAAAGTCTACACATCTGTAATGCACAGACTTAGCTTCCTTTTTAACTAGCTTAACCAGGTGATAGACTAGTCTTTAAAAACCAGTTAGGCTGGGGCGCCTGGGTGGCTCAGTGGGTCAAAGCCTCTGCCTTCAGCTCAGGTCATGATCCCAGCATCCTGGGATGGAGCCCCGCATCGGGCTCTCTGCTCAGCAGGGAGACTGCTTCCCCCCTCTCTCTCTGCCTGCCTCTCTGCCTACTTGTGATCTCTGTCAAATAATAAATAAAATCTTAAAAAAAAATAGGATTTGGGGCAAGTCACCCACACATAACTGAAATTTATTATCTCAGTCTACACAATACAAGGTTTCCATCCTGGTACCCTTGGATGATATTGTTGATATATTGTGGCTTATCTTCCCTCTCGCTGTCCCTTGAATCCTACTTCGCCATGTTGTTTACACATCTGTAAGTGTGCCACCAACTGAAAACTGGGTAGAGGAACACCAGCCACAATGCACATCACTTCCTTTGCCTCAAAAAATGAGTGGAAGAGGGGCACCTGTGTGGCTCAGTGTGTTAAGCATCTGCCTTCGGCTCAGGTCATGATCTCAGGGTCCTGGGATCGAGCCCCACATCGGGCTCTCTGCTCAGTGGGGAGCCTGCTTCCCCCTCTCTTTGCCTGCCTCTCTGCCTACTTGTGATCTCTCTCTCTCCGTCAAATGAATAAATAAAATCTTAAAAAATAATGAGTGGAAGAAAACAATGGGATGCCATTTTAGACATATCGTGTTAACAAAAAGGAAAACCACTGCTGGAGTTTTGTTTTGTTTTTTCAAAAATTATACTCAATGCCAGCCAAGGTTGTGGAGGAACCAATACACTATGTTAATGACAGAAAAGTGTAAAGAACCATAAACATATTCATGCTTTTTGACCCTGCTATCCCATTTCACAGACTACCTTAAGGAAATAAGTCAAAACAGAAAAAAACAAGTTCAATGGGCAAGAAACAGGTAATCTGCTCACTAGCTTAAGCAGCCTCACAAAAGATAAATATAAAGGATTCATATTTGAATATGAATTCATATTCATATTCCATAGTTGGGGCACCGGGGTGGCTCAGTCAGAAGGGTGCGGGACTCTTGATCTTGGGGTTGCAAGTTCAAGCCCCATGTTGGGTGTAGAGATTCCTTAAATAAATTTTTTAAATAAATAAAAATAAAAGATTTGTAGCAACATGGAAATATAATTAGTATATGAATAATCTTCTCTACAGTCACAATACTCAATATTGAAAGATGACAGCTGTGAAGTCTTATCTCTCTGCTGCAACGACACAGAAGAATCCAAATAGCAAAGACAATGTGGTGACCACAAGGAAGAGCTTTGGATGAATGCATAATTATTCTAAATGAGTGTGAAACTCCTTGGCATTTTAAACATGAGTGGATATTGCTAATTTTCCAGTTGCCATTTAAAAAAAAAACCCTCTCAGAAGCATTTGTCTACAGCAAGAAAGAGTAATCAGCAATTATTAACTGTACTTTTGCGTACATCCATATTCTCAAGACTAATGATTTAATTAAGGATGTCTTCCTCAAAAGTGAAATAACATGACCATAAGCAATAAGCCTTACTTCCTGCGGCGAAACTCAAAATATAATGATGACAAAATAAAAGGAACTCAACAGAAAAAATATATATAATGATGAAATGTAAAGAGATGCCATTTAAGGGTCTATAAGCAGACAAGGCTTCTTAAAGAAGAGTTCTAGAAAATAGATGCCAAAAACACACATCATGGGACGCCTGGGTAGCTCAGTCAGCTGAATGTCCAACTCTTGATTTTGGCTCAGGTCATGATCTCAGGGTTGTGGGATCGAGTCCCCCTACCCCATACCATTGGGCTCTGCACACAGCGGGGATTTCAGTTCTCCATCCCACCCACCCCCACCCCTCCCCACCACGCTCGGTCTCTCTAAAATAAATAAATCCATCAAAGATGGAAAGAAATTAAAATGAGTCAGTCTTGGGGAAAGGAAGCACTATAGTCACTGGAGTTGGCATGTTGAGTTGGTAGTGCCAGTGTGACGTGCAAATGCTCAGAATCTAACTGCCTAGAAGTTACAGCTTGGGATACAGACTTAGGAGCTGTCAGCACTGGGGACCTAGACGAAGCCATGGGACTGAATGAGCTCTGAAAGGGAGAGGATACAAAGAGGGGACTGGAATGCTGAAGACTGAACCCTGCATAGAGGCTAGAGGTAGGTGACAGGAAGAGGAAGGCAAAAGAAGGTCCAGAGCAGTACAAGGAGAATGATACAAATCACACTGAGAGAGTTTCACAGAATAGGTGCTGATTAGTTAGCTGCAGAAACTAATGAGGGTGAAGGCTAGGGAAAGGCCATTAGATCTGGCAAGGGATCATTGGGAACCTTCAAGAGTCAGTATTCAGGTGCACCTGGGCAGTTCAGTCGGTTAAGTGTCTGCCTTTGGCTCAGGTCATGATCCTGTGGTCCTAGGATTAAGCCCCACATCGGGATCCTTGCTCAGGGGGGCCTGCTTCTCCCTCTCCCTCTGATGCACCCCCACTGCTTGTGCCCTCTCACTCCCTCTCAAATAAATAAATAAATAAATAAATAAAATCTTTTTTTTAAATCTTAGTATTAAAAAAAAAAAAGAGTCAGTATTCAGTGGAGTGTGACCAAAGAGACGACAAGTGGTGGAGCCAACCAATGGGAGATTTCTGTTGGCAACATGATCATTCAGCATTCCATCTACCTTCTGAAGGAAGCTGTTGTCATACAAGACTCCCAGAAAAAAAGCAACCTGAGTCAAAGTGCTAGGTATTGAAGAAAACAGAAGCCTGAAATTACTGTGTGAGACCCAAATATAAAAGCCAGTCAGGGGGCGCCTGGGTGGCTCAGTGGGTTAAAGCCTCTGCCTTCGGCTTGGGTCATGATCCCAGGGTCCTGGGATCGAGCCCCGCATCGGGCTCTCTGCTCCACAGGGAGCCTGCTTCCTCCCCTCTCTCTCTGCCTGCCTCTCTGCCTACTTGTGATCTCTGTCTGTCAAATAAATAAATAAAATATTAAAAAAAAAAAGCCAGTCAGTCACTGAGGGAGAAATCCAAAACAAAAGACGCAAGGGGTAGAGACAACGTCTACACACAGCATCATGGGGGAACTTCACCAACAATACTGAGGAAAAGAGAGCAGACATAAAAGAGTACATCCTGTAGGATTCTATTTATGCACAATTCACAAACGGGCCAAATTAATCCATGATGCTAGGAGTTAGGGGAGCGGCTGCCTTTGGGGAAGGCGAGTAGAGAGAAGTGGCTCCCGGGGCACTGATTGTGTACCATTCACTGACACCAGTGCCAGTTTCAAAAGTGCGTTTACTTGGCAATAACTCATTGAGCTGTGCGTGCATGTTGCACGCACTTCTCTGTATGCATATTTCAAATACGAAGTTAGAAAAACTGCAAAACACATGAGGATCCTGGTTAGACCAGGATGGTGAGATGTCGTCAGGCCCTCAGTTTTATCTAGAACGTCTGGTGGCTGAGAGATGAGAGGAATCCTGCACAGTCTTCTTTGACCTGAGGAGATGAGGCTGGCAGGTCATAGGTAATACAGTATTAAACAGGGAGCCACCACCAAGATGCCTTGGTTTCTCAGATAACAGACTTGTCTTAAGGCTTTGATTTCTGACACATTTCCATAGTTTACGTATCTGTTGAACCTGACAGTTAGAGACAATACTTGAAATTTGTCCAAGTGACCTACCTAAGTCATACAACTTGAGAGAAGAACCAGAACTTAAAAGTGAGGCAGGTAGAAGGGTGCCTGCCTGGCTCAGTTGGAGGAGCTTGCGACTCTTGATCTCAGGGTTGTGAGCTCAAGCTCCATGTCAGGTATGAAATGACTTAAAAGTAAAATCTTAAAAAAAAAAAAAAAAGCGAGGCAGTGTTCCATTCCATCTGCCTCACTCGTCATGAAAGGGTCTCCAAGCTCTCAACTTCATTATTTCTCTAAATGGATCATTTTATAAACCACTCCATTTTGCCACCTACATCAAGCATTAATCTAAACAAGAGTTGCCATCACGTCTTGGACTCAAATAACAACCCCAAATGAGTAATCCTGAGAAGTATACATCTTGTCCCTCGTATCTAATTGCTCAAATGACTACACATTCATTTAATCTATTTTTGCTAATTTAAAAGTTATTCAAGCCAGTTAATGTTTATGCTCAGAGGCCATTCAAAGGTGATTACACATAACCCTTTCTGTACTTTGGAACACATCCCTACTGCTTAAAGCATTCACCAGGGACAACCTTGAAGCTAAGTACATAAGGTCCCTCCAGTTCCCCAGGCTTTGCAATCTTTTATCCCCAAAGCATAAAAACAAACATGATGACTTTGTTCCCTATTCCTTCCATTAATTGTTAATTGATGCTTATTACATTATGGCTACCTCCAGGTCTCTTCAGAGAGTCTGAAATGCATGAAGTAGTTCTGTGGTTACCTGTAAAAAGGAAGAAGATCAGGACGATGACCATTGTGTACCCAAAGTATAAAATGCTGCTTGCAAAGCCCGTGATTTGAAGTTTGGCGAAGAAGTAATGAACTGCATATATGAAAAGGTAAACAGCTGTAAAACTGCTGGTAAAAAAGGCTCTCCACCACCAACGATAATCCTGCAAAAAGAAATAGAAAAAAATAACTTTTTAGGTGAAATCTAACTATAAATGAGTTAGCAATTATTGTCATAAAATAGGCTCCATTAGATTATAGAGTAAGAGAAATAAAAGGGAAACTTTCATAAGAAGTTCAACGTGGGGGGTGCTGGGTGGCTCAGTCAGTTAAGAGACTGCCTTCAGCTGAGGTCATGATCCTGGGGTCCTGGGATGGAGAACTGGCTCTCTGCTCAGCAGGGAGCCTGCTTTTCCCCTCTCCCTCTGCCTGCTGCTCCCCCTGCTTGTGCTCTCTGTCTCAAATAAATTAATTTTTTAAATTCTTTTTTAAAAAAAGAAATTCAATGTGGTATACACTATCTGACTAATGTAGTTCTGCTTGGGGTGCCTTAACTTGTATAAACTCCTTGTTTCCAGGGAGACCACGTGTGCCTTCAGGGTCTGCACTCGTAATGCACACGTCTTTTCTATCAGGACGCTGCCTCAACCTTGGAAGGCTTTTCCGGTCAGCTTCAATTTACTGGCCAGAGCTGCCTCGGGCTAGGTAGGAAACTATTAGTATAGAAACTTCAGATTGAGCTTTACAGCAAATGCGATTTGTTTTACCCTACTGAAGCTGGGATCCATGGAGGCATGACGGAGGTCAATACACAGGTTCTGCGTATTCTGCGGGCTCCTGCTGATGCTAATTTTACTCTAAGGGGTGGGTAGAGCCTGCAGACTCTTGATCTCAAGGTTGAGTTCAAGCCCCACATTGGGTGTGGAGCCTACTTTAAAAAAAAAAAAGGAAAGAATTTTACTGGAAAGTCACTGTGGTCAGGGGCTAAGGGGATCTACAGTGCAGAAAAGAGTTAACATAGCAGGTCTGAAGTTACTATCTTTAGAAGGGCCCAATTGCAGATTTGGCGCTTAGCTTACATCTGGGAATTTGGCATTTAATCATTCCCTGATTGATAAGACTGGTTTGCTATACCGAGACTGTACAAACAATGTGATTGATGATGAGCACTTGCTTTCTTTTTGGGAGTCTGGAATTTTTGTACTTGCCAGGCAGAGGTTGCCTATGTGATTAGCTCCTAATGAAGACCTTGGATGCGGAGTCTCCAATGGGCTTCCCTGAGCACAAACACTGCATATCTATTACTATATTTTTTACTGCTGGAGAAAGAAGCACAATTGATGTATTCTCTTGTGCAAAAGAGAAAGCATGGGAAGACTGAATGTGGATTTCTCCAGGCTCTACCTGTGTCTTTTCCCCTTGCCGATCCTGTTGTGTATCCTTCGGCTACAATGGGCCGTAGCCATGTGTACATCTATACCCTGAGCCCCATGAGTCCTTCCACTGAACTGTCCAATATGTGGGTGGTCTTGGGAGCCTCCAAAACATTTTTTTTTCTTAAGTAGGCTCCAAACTCAGCGTGGAGCCCAATGCGGGGTTTGAACTCATGACCCCGGAGCTGAGATCAAGAGCTGGACGCTTAACTGACTGAGCCACCTGGCACCCCATCTAAGAAATAGAAATAGACACATCATATGTCTATGAAAATGCTCTCAGACATCAGGTACACGATTGTCATTCCCTAAACTCTCTATTGTCACCTTTAGAAAGTCACATGTAACTACCAAAACAAGAAGGATGTAGGGCATTTATGAAAATAATCTTCACTACCACTTTAATTATCCAGAATAACATCAGAAAAAAAAATGGGGGTGGAGTGGGGTTAGCAGAACTATTTATGTCCATAGTAACCAAAAGGCAATGAAATGAAAATAAGAGAAAGGGCCTTTAGCAGCAACCTCAAACCCATAAAACACAATGCTGGCCTAAGTGGCGAAAATTTTAATTGTTATAAAAAAAACCACTATTGAAGCAGATCTTTTATAGGTCTAAATATCAAATCAGTTCCCTATATTTTTCTATGTTAACTGAATATTACATAGCAATTACAGTAACTAGCCAGAGAGAAATTGCATTCTGTTTAAATTTTCCATCAAAGTTGCATTAACTTGATAGCCACATCAAAATCAAAATGTGTCATCAGGAAAACAATATAAAACTGATGCCACATTCTTGAAACCATGCGGTTAACAGTTGCTTCAATTCCTTTCTCAACACAAGCTCCTCATTCCAATAACACGAGCTTGGGAAGCAGAAAATACATTCATTTCTTAGGTCTTTACCTCAGCGCACAAATGGAAATAACACAGCAAAACTGTAGCTTCTGAACAGGTAATCAGGAGAATTATAAAGACCAAGAAAAGGAAGCCAAACATGAAGTACATCTGATGAGACCTGAAAATAAAAATGACAGCTTTAAAATTAACTTCGAGTACACAGAAAGCCCAATCCAAATCCATACGAGAGATGGCCACACTTCTCAAACCTTAGCCATTCATTCCAAACCTTGATCTATCCATCCAGTATCCAAAAGAGACTTCCTGACCTGTGCGGCTTCTGAGTTCCCCCCGATCCTGTCCAGGGTGACCCCATCTGGCTACTAACCCATAATTCCCTGCTCACGTAGTTGAGACCCATCAGTATCTCTGTCATTTTCTTTATGCACACGTTAAACCACGCTTTCTTTTTAGCAACGGAAGGTTGTAAGTGCCATAAATATCAGCGACAATGTTATATAACAGAAAACCACAGAATCAAATACGCTTTGCCTTTGAAGCTCTATTGATAGGCAGCCTCTCCCGATGGGTCTTGCTAGCACAGCGCAAATAATTCTATTAAATATACTTTCACACATGCATCCTCTTAAAGCTCTGTGTGTGGACTCCATTTCTGCCAGACTTTGCAGGAACAAAGTCATTTCTTTCATTATGACAGAGCTGAGCTGACTAAATTGGGATGAGCAATTTTTAAGAGCCTCCTGAAGAAAAGAAACTGAGGAACCAATCGATACCCCATTTTACACTCTCCTGCAGAATGCATTCCCCAGGCACAAGGGCGAGGGACAGGGCTTGGGGAGAATCATTTTTTTTTAAGATTTTATTTATTTATTTGACAGAGAGAGATCACAAATAGGCAGAGAGGCAGGCAGAGAGAGACGGAGAAGCAGGCTCCCCGCTGAGCAGAGAGCCCGATGCGGGGCTCAATCCCAGGACCCCGGGATCATGACCTGAGCCGAAGGCAGAGGCTTTAACCCACTGAGCCACCCAGGCGCCCTGGGAGAATCATTTCGATAATGAACATACACACAGTTGTATACGGCAAGCACCCTCTGTTTCACTGAAATAAAACTTGTCTGAAGACTCTTCTAGTTTTCACTTGAAAATTATTTTCCCATCAAAAACATCTGGAAAATGCTGTTACTATAATCGATTTTGCAGCAGGTTAAATATTTAGTTGCTGACAAGGTAACAGACTTTATTGCTTATCTTTTAAACAGATTTGGCACAATGCTGTTTCAAAGGTAAGCAATTAATGTGCATGATTAAGCCTAACTTTTGAGGACTTGAAAACTGTGACTGGAAGGTGGCTTTGGGACAAAAGCATTCTAAACACACACAGCTGGCTACTGCATTTGATTTGATCATGCGTTTGCCCCATCTCCAAAACTCCCTCCAGAGTGCCACCCCACTGACCAGCTCCTGAAACCAGAATGCAGTCAAAAATCAGGAATTAAGGAAAATAAAGGGACTTGGAGAAGCTGAAGCTGTCGCACTTGCATCAGAGAGCTCGGATTCTTACTTAACATATCAGGATTCTTAAATCACGACAGATTCAAAGTAGCCAAGAGAAAGGGGAACGCTGTAAGGAACAAGCGTCCCAACATCAGAGCTAACAGCTGACAGACAGGAAAGCAGAAAAATATTACTCACATACAGCTCAGTACAGATGAAGACCCAGAGTCAGTGGTCTTCAAGGTATTTTTAGCGGAGGAACTCTGAAATCTTGCATGGAAGGTCAGTACGGAAAAAAGAGACACATGGGGGCCACCTCTTCCCATGTTCAGACGCCTCCTTCCAAGGGACACCCCCGCCCCACCTCCTGCAAAGGCTCAGAGAAGTATGGTGGGAGCCAACTTTCTAAGTCATCTGGAAAGGCTTAAAAAGAGGTTATTACTTTTTTTTAAAAAGGAAACCCGCATAGAAATTTCCATCAAAAAGTGTCTTTAAAAACTTATGAATTAAGGGGCGCCTGGGTGGCTCAGTGGGTTAAAGCCTCTGCCTTCGGCTCGGATCGCGGTCTCAGGGTCCTGGGATCGAGCCCCGCGTCGGGCTCTCCGCTTGGCGGGGAGCCTGCTTCCCCCTCTCTCTCTTTTTCTGCCTCTCTGCGTACTTGTGGTCTCTGTATGTCAAATAAATAAATAAAATCTTAAAAAAAAAAACTTGTGAATTAAGTCTTAATTCCCTAGGGAACTCCCCTGGGGTCAGATCGCCATTTCCTGGATACAAAAAGGTGGGAGGGGGGACAAATGAAGTTTTACCATACCAGAATTAAACCTCCTTGAAATACAGGAAAATTAACTGATCAACAATTAAGATTTTTTGAGATTATGAAGATATAATACTCACCACATACTGTTTAGAATGAAAAAGAGTTGAATAAAAATACAGCCAAAAGGTAAAATGCCACCGATTATGATGCCAAAAATCGGTTTAGTAAAGAAATTCTGCCGAGGAATATGACGGGGAATCTGGTTTGTGTGAACTGGACACCTAAACTGCTCGAAAAGAAATTCAAGTGAAAATCAGAATGACATGAAACTGAAGTGAACTTATATACTTATAATCACATACTGAATCCTAAATTGGAACAGGACAAAAAACACTTGCAAGAGCAGTCATGTGCGCAGAGGCTAGACCAACTCTGTGCGAGAGAAACATAATGCAAGCCATATATGCAGTCTTAAAGCGTTTAGAAGCTGCATTTTATTTTATTTATTTTTTTTATTTACTTGACAGACAGAGATCATAAGTGGGCAGAGAGGCAGGCAGAGACAGAGGGAGGAAGCAGGCTCCCCGCCGAGCAGAGAGCCCGACGCGGGGCTCAATCCCAGGACCCTGAGATCATGACCTGAGCCGAAGGCAGAGGCTTTAACCCACTGAGCCACCCAGGCGCCCCTAGAAGCTGCATTTTAAAAAGTGGATAGAAATAGGCAACATCATGGCGCCTGGGTGGCTCAGTCAGTTAAGCCTCTGCCTTTGGCTCAGGTCATGATCTCAGGGTCCTGGGATCAAGCCCCGCATTGGACTCCCTGCTCAGTGGAGAGCCTGCTTCCCCCTCTTCCTCTGCCCTTGCCCTCCCTTGTGCTCTTTCTCACTCCCTCAAAAAAATAAATTTTTAAAAAATTAAAAAAAGAAATAGGCAGAATCAATTTATGAATACATTTCATTTGATCTAACATAGTCAAATATTATCAGTTAAACTTGTCATCCATATAAAAAGTACTAACTTGATGTTTTTTATTTTGTTGCTATTGTTCTGTTTGAAATTCATTGTGTATTTTTTTTAAGATTTTACTTATTTATTTGAGAGAGAGATAGTGAGAGAGAGCATGAGGGGGAGAAGATCAGAGGGAGAAGCAGACTCCCCGTGGAGCTGAGAGCCCGATGTGGGACTCAATCCCAGGACTCCAGGATTATGACCTGAGCTAAAGGCAGTTGCTTAACCAACTGAGCCACCAAGGCGCCCTCGCTGTGTATTTTATACTTCCTTACAACACTTACCAGTTTGGAACTTGCCATATTTCAAGCACTCAAAAGTCATATGGGGTGGGGGGCGCCTGGGTGGCTCAGTGGGTTAAGCCTCTGCCTTTGGCTCAGGTCATGATCTTGGGGTCCTGGGATCGACCCCCGCATCAGGCTCTCTTCTCCTTCCCCCTCTCTCTCTCTGCCTGCCTCTCTGCCTACTTGTAATCTCTGTCTGTCAAATAAATAAATAAAATCTTAAAAAAAAAAGGCATGTAAGGCTGGTGACCACCATACTAGAGAGCACGCAGCTAGATAATAAGGACTTTTATCCTTTCTTATCAGTTTCAAGGAAGAGATTAGACAAGATTTAGTGGTGAATATTCCAATATGAAGTATTTGATAACAAAAAGTCCTCTCAGAATGTATAGAAAAACCTGAAAGACTCCATCAAAAAATTGCTAGAACTACTACATGAATTCGGCAAAGTTGCAGGATATAAAATCAATGTACGGAAATCAGTTGCATTTCTATAGACCCATAATGAAGCAGCAGAAAAAGAAATCAAGGAATCAGTCCCATTTACAATTGCACCAAAAACAATGAGATACTTAGGAATAAACTTAACCAAAGAGGTAAAAGATCTCTACTCTGAAAACTACATAATACTTATGAAAGAAACTGAAGAGGACACAAAGAAATGGAAAAACATTCCATGCTCATGGAGTGGAAGAACACTGCTAATTGTCAATACTACCCAAAGCAGTCTACATTATCAAATGCAATCCCGAATCAAAAATGCAATCCCTATCAAAATATCAATGGCAGGGGCGCCCGGGTGGCTCAGTGGGTTAAGCCTCTGCCTTCGGCTCAGGTCATGATCTCAGGGTCCTGGGATCGAGCCCTGCATCGGGCTCTCTGCTCAGCAGGGAGCCTGCTTCTCCCCTCTCTCTGCCTGCCTCTCTGCCTACTTGTGATCTCTCTCTCTCTATGTCAAATAAATAAATAAAATCTTTTTTAAAAATACCAACAGCATTTCTCACAGAGCTGGAAAAAACAATCCTAAAATTTGTATGGAACCACAAAAGACCCAAATAACCAAAGCAATCCTGAAAAAGAAAAGCAAAGCTGGAGGCATCACGATTCCGGACTTCCAAGTTACATTACAAAGCTGTAGTCATTGAGACAGTATAGTGCTGGCATACAGACACACAGATCAATAGAACAGAATAGAGAACCCAGAAATGGACCGTCAACTCCATGGTCAACTAATCCTCGACAAAGCAGGAAAGAATGTCCAATGGAGAAAAAGACAGTCTCTTCAACAAATGGTGTTGGGAGGACTGGACAGCAACCTGCAGAAGAATGAACCTGGACTGCTTTCTGACACCATACACAAAAATAGATTCCAAATGGATGAAAGATCTACATGTGAGACAGGCAACCATCAGACCCTAGAAGAGAACACAGGCAGCAAACTCTTTGCTCAGCCATAGCAACTTCTTACTAGGCATGTTGCTGGAGGCAAGGGAAACAAAAGCAAAAATGAACTATAGAGACTCATCCAGATGAAAAGCTTCTGTGCAGCAAAGGAAACAAAACTAAAAGGCAGCCTGCAGAATGGCAGAAGATATTTGCAAATGGCATAGCTAATAAAGGGCAGGTATCCAAAATCTATAGAGTTCATCAAACTTATCCAAAAAACAAAAATCCAATTAAGAAATGGGCAGAAGACATGAACAGACATTTTTCCAAAGACATCCAGATGGCCAACAGACACATGAAAAAGTGCTCCACATCACTCATCATCAGAGAAATACAAATCAAAACCACAGTGAGATACCACCTCACACTGGTCAGAACGACTAAAATGAACAAGACAGGAAACAACAGATGCTGGCAAGGATGCGGAGAAAGGGGAACCCTCTTGCACTGTTGGTGGGAATGCAAGCTGATGCAGCCACTCTGGAAAACCGTACGGAGGTTTCCCAAAAAAGTTAAAAATGGAACCACCCTACAACCCAGCAATTGTACTACTAGGTATTTACCCAAAGGATACAAAAATACAGATTCAAAGGGGCACATGCACCCTGATGTTTATAGCAGCAAAGTCCACAATAGCCAAACTATGTAAAGAGCCCAGATGTCCATTGACAGATGAATGGATAAAGAAGATGTCATAGGTATATATACATATACATATATATAACTATAGTAGATAGATAGATGTGATATGTATATATACACACATATAGAGAGATGTAGTATAGATATACACACACACACACACACACACACACACACACACACAAAGCATGGACTATTGCACAGCCATCAAAAAGAATGAAATCTTGTGACATGCAACCATGCGGTTGGAGCTAAAGGGTATTACACTAAGCAAAATAAGTCACTCAGAGAAAGACAAATACCATATTATCTCACTCATATGTGGAATTTAAGAAACAAAAGAGATGAGCATAGGCGAAGGGAAGAAAAAGAGAGAGGGAAGCGGAAGGTGAGGCTCTTAATGAGAGCAAACTGAGGGTTGTTGGAAGGAGGCAGGTGATGCATGGACCAGATGGGGATCAAGGAGGGCACTTGCTGTGTTGAGCACTGGGTGTTCTTCGCAAGGGATGAATCCATAAATCCTACTTCTGAAACCAATATTAAACTATATGGTAAGTAACCAGAATTTAAATAAAATTTTGGAGGAAAAAAAAAAGAATTTCTCTTAAAATGTGTCAGTGTTTTTCAGGCATCTTTCTTTTTTCTGCTCTGTGTGGAACCAGCTCGTGTTTTGTCTTATCTGATTTCTCTCCTGCAAATGCACACCATATCTTTGTACAATCCTTTTGCAGGCTGGCCTCATTTAGTTTTTTTGATATCCTGCTCCTTTACCCTATGCATGGAATAGGCTAACTTCAGATCTATAAACTGAATAGCTCCATTTTTCAGACTGTATCTTTGCTTTCTTCCCCCACTCCATAATCTTATTACTTTTCTGACTTTGTTAAAGTCAGCCTTCCAACAATATGTCCCTTTAATTTCATCTAACAGAGATAGACAGAAATATAAACAACCTATAAAATGGGAAGTACATTAAATAGTGTCTTTTGAAGCATTACTATGTTTCATTTTTTTAATTTTTTTAAATTTTTTATTCCAAAATGATTATTCTTTGTAGTTTTCGCCAATGGTACATTTCGCTTTCCATGTATAGTAATACACGCTTTGAGGTATTATTGCAGACATTAGTCAATGGCCAAAAGCAGGATTTTACAAATTTACCTTTATCTTGCTTCCGAAGTATGCACCCAAAAATGTTAATGGTACAGAAATTCCAAACCACAGCGCAAGGATACCTATCAGGGTACCAAAGGAGATGGCAGCCGATGACCTTTCCACCCAAAGAATCAGGTTCATAAAGAACAGGTCGATGAAGACGACACTAGGGAGAAAAAAAAATCAGGAAACAATATGCTTTCAGGAAAATGTTATAATTATACTTGATGTGAATGTCGGGAAATTCTTTTGGTGGGAAGGATAGAATAAATGACAAGGCAAAACCCTAGAAGAATATTATGCCTCACTGTGGAAACCCAGCCATACCATGGAAAAACTCGATGTGTGGTATAGTGAAAACAATTAAGAACATGGATATACTAGAAACAGATTTTAGAATCCCAAAGGAAATGGGCTGTGAGCCTCAAGTCCAACAAGCATTGACTTAACACAAGAGCTTTTCAATCAGTCACTCAAAATCAAGGGGTCAGCTGTGAATCTACTGGGTAAATCACCAGGTGAGCTATTGTCTCCCTGTGGGTTCCAGCCAACTTGGCCAAAGCTACAGGTGAGTCTGGGTATGGATGTGGGTGTTTCTGAAAGCTTAAAAGATGAGGGTGAAGACGTGGACAGAGGCTAGATTGTGGAAGGCTTTGAACGCCGGGGTAAGGAACGTAGACTTGCTCCTGGCAGGACCAGGAGACAGCGGAAGGGGCTTTACATTCAAAGCTCTGGGGTACATAGCACAGCCTTCCAGGTAGATAAGTCTGCAGCCTGGTAAAGGTCAGACCTAAGAGAAGAGAACTAGAGACAAGGAGACCAGATACAAAACAGTAAGAATCTGTATAACGTGGTGATGGTTAAAATGTAAATGAGTTATAAAAAAGTCATCAAGCACTGAGACTTTTGGTTAAAGATGACAGATTGAAATCACACATTTAGCTCTGCCCCTCCTCAAAACTCCAATAAATGATAGTAAAAGAACTTTAAAGGAGCATGAATACACAAGGATGGGGGATACAGGAGAGAAGACATTAGCAACAAATTTTGGAAAGCAGACAGCAGATGGACTAGTAGTAACTGAGTTAGTGGGAGGGAAGGAGTGGCTAAAACCAGGACTGGTTGAAAGTCAGCCTAAGATACTCACAGACCTGCAGATTCCCTTCCCCGTGCCTCAGAGCCGAAGACCTTCTTCCCGACCCCAGCAGAAGACTGGAGGGTCAAGCCTCCTAGAGGAGAACCCTGCAGCTCAGAAGAAAACTTTAGAAAGGAAAACCTATGATTGACATCCACAAAGAGATTGGAAGGACCACTGCAACTGAGAAGCAAGATGACACGTTAAGGACTGGTGAGAAATAAAAGAGCTCTTTAGAATTAGAAATATGACAGGGGGGATGAAAACCTGAGTCAAAGGGTTAGAACATAAAGCTAATGATAATGTTTTAGAAGGCAGCATTAGAAGGAAGAGGAAGAGGAGGAGGGGGGGAGGAGAAGAAATGAAAACACCTTAAGTGCCCATTGAAACATGAGTGGAGGGGCGCCTGGGTGGCTCAGTGGGTTAAAGCCTCTGCCTTTGGCTTGGGTCATGGTCCCACGGTCCTGGGATCGAGCCCCACATCGGGCTCTCTGCTCGGCAGGGAGCCTGCTTCCTCCTCTCTCTCTGCCTACCTCTCAGACTACTTGTGATCTCTGTCTGACAAATAAATAAAATATTTACAAAAAAAAAAAAAACAAAGAAACATGAGTGGATAAAAAAGTTGTGGTATAGATAGATGATAGAGATAGAGATAGAGATATTATTCAGCCTAAAACTGAAGGAAATCCTACCATTTGTGACAACATGGATGGACTCTGAAGACATTATGCTAACTGAAATAAGTCAGAGAAAGATAAATACTGTATGATCTCATTTATATGTAAAATCTAAAACAAAAACAAAGGCAAACCAAACTCAGGGCTCCTGGGTGGCTCAGTTGGTTTACCATCTGACTCTTGGTTTCAGCTGAGGTCCTGATCTCAGAGTCATAAGATCGAGCACCATGTCGGGCTGTGCACTCAGCAGGAGGTCTGCTTGGGATTCTCTCCCTCTCCCTCTACCCATACCCTGCTCGCTCTCTTTCTCTCTCAAATAAATAAATATTAAAAAAAAAAAAAAGCAAACCAAACTCATAGAAAAAGAAATCAGACTTGTGGCTAACTGGGGCCAGGGTGGAGGGAGGAAGGTGGTTAAAAGGTACAAACTTCCAATGATAAACACCTACAAGGGATGTAATGTACAACATGATGGCTTCCACTAACACCACTGTGTGATAGAGAGATAGAGAGATAGGGAAGTTGTTAAGAGTGTAAATCCTAAGATTATCATAAGGAGATAAGGAGAGGGTTTTTTTTTCCTTTTTTCTTCTTTATTTGCCTTTTCTTGTAGCTCTATGAAATGATGGGTGTGAACTGAACCCATTGTGGTCATCATTACACAGTATATGTAAGTTGAACTATCACACTGTACACCTTGAACTTATACAGTGATGGATGTCAATTACTTCTCAATAACAGGGGAGGAAAAAAGAAAAAACCAAATAGGTCAAAAAGAAAGAAAAATTAGATGAACAGCCCAGGCACATGAGAAATAGGAGTCACCTGAATAGACAGAGTTCTTCGTGTCTTTTAGGGATATTAAGTACTTTGTCAAGGTCAGACCGCTGATAAGAGAGAGAGCTGGGATTCTAACTCAGGTGGGTGTGATTCTTTACCAGCAAGCCATTTCCATGCCACGGTGTTCTGCTAAGGCCTCTATGGTGGGAACCCACCCCGCCAACCAGGTCTATCTTCCCCCAGACTTTTTGTCAAAGCACCAGCTAAGGCTCCGAGGTCTCCTGTTTAGGGAATCTCTGGTTAATTCTTTACTTGGAAATTCTCTCAAGGTCCATTCCAATTCTAGGATTTAATGCTGCCTTCCTATTTGCCATCTTTCTCCAATTTCTTAATCAGGATCATGTTCTTTTTATGTTCCTCATCTCTCATGATAAAACAACTTCAGGGCACCTGGGCGGCTCAGTGGTTAAGCCTCTGCCTTCAGCTCAGGTCATGATCCCAGGGTCCTGGGATCGAGCCCCGCATCGGGCTCCCTGCTCAGCGGGATGCCTGCTTCCCCCCCTCCACTCCCCCTGCTTGTGTTCCCTCTCTCACTGTCTGTCAAAAAAATAAATAAAATATTTAAAAAAAAAAAAAAAAAAAAAAACAACTTCAGCCATTTCTTCCTTCATGTCACTATTTCTGCTTCATCCTCCCCACTGTGTGTACGATCTCTTCAGCCGACTAAACCTACATCGGTAGATAACTCTACTGTGCTTTTGAAAGGCTCACGTGTGCTCCTGCCAGAGATGCATGTCATTTGAAGCCCTTTCAAATGACAACAAACCTTAGGTCTCATCACTTTCTGGCATCTTAATAAGGGATTCTGGTTTCCTATGATTTAACCGTTCTTCTTCAAATGTTTCTTAATACCTTTCTGCTCTAATGAATTTGTTCAGCCACAATATTCCTCTGCCAAATTTCCCAGCCTTTGAGAGATTCATTTCAGCTGTTATCATTCCATGGCCAGAAAAATTACTTCTCACTTGACAAATCATAACCTCCCTTCTTATACATAAACTCAATTAACCCGTCTCAACAATTTCCCTTTTGAAAGTACACTCTAGAATGTTAATATGTGTTTAACAATTCTGTAACTGCCCTTCAGTTTCAAGTTTTTATATTCTAAATAGCTCTTCCTTTGTTGATCTCTATTTCTAGACCTTTTCATGGAATCTTAAACAGCAAAACTAAAAGGAAACTTAAGATGTCATCTGGGGTCATCTCCTACCTGAAACATTTATTCACATGTTCATCGAACATTTATTGAGTACATAGGTGTTAGCCCCTGGCATTCAGAGGTAAATAAAAACCCTTGCTCTGAAAAGCTTAGTCTGGTGGGAGAGAGAGATAAATAAATTACAATACAACATGGGATATACTATAGCAAATGACAAAGACAGAGCAGTAGGAACACAGAAGAAAAGAGTGACCAAAAATACTTTATAGCTCACAAAACAATTTCGCAATCCATTAGTTCATTTACTTCTCTAAACGACTCTGTGACACAGGCATTACCAGGCAAGGAAACAGACAATCAGGAAGGTTGTAGGACTTCTCCCAAAGTCATTTACCTAATACCGAGGGCCTGATCGTAAGTGCTGGAATTCAGGCTTGCTTCTTTCTAATTGTAAAGTTTGGGTACATGACCATCGAAGTAGGCTACCTTTTCCTTTTCCTACCTACCACTTTTGGGGTTACATGAAGGAAAATTATATGGTTGAAGAATCTTACTTTCTTCAATTTCTTTTTTTTTAAAGATTTTATTTATTTATTTGATAGAGATCACAAGCCACCCAGGTACTCCCTTTCTTCAATTTCTTTTAGGGAATATCTACATTCATTAGCCTGAATGCTTCTCCTTTTAAATTAAACCTGTTTTGGGGGCACCTGGGTGGCTCAGTGGGTTAAAGCCTCTGCCTTCGGCTCAGGTCATGATCCCGGGGTCCTGGGATCGAGCTCCGCATTGGGCTCTCTGTTCAGCAGGGAGCCTACTTCCCTTCCTCTCTCTCTCTCTGCCTGCCTTCTGCCTACTTGTGATCTCTGTCTGTCAAATAAATAAATTAAATCTTTAAAAAAAATTAAAGCTGTTTTTATGGTGCCCATTTAAGGTGCCATATGAGCTACTCGCACACTGATCCATTACGAGGCACTGAACTTCTCTTTCAACCTACTACAGTCTAAGAAATGAGAACACCAGTACCTTACGATTCTCTCGCTCTCATATACTTAAGAGAGCCCTCGAACCACTTGAGGGAAATATGTCCTTTGTATCATGCCTGGTTTATTGCTTTAAAATTGCATTCAGTTCTACCAACAGAACAAGGAAACCGAATCTGTTTTGCATTTTTAAATTATTCATTTGATTCGATCATACAGTAGATATTTACTGAACACTTACTCCATATAAGGCACTTGGTTACATGCTGTGAAAGATACAGAAATGATTAAGACATAGTAATCACCCTGGTGAGTTTTAGAATGCACAATGAGATAAGGCATATCACAAATAAGTCCAATCTAAGGAACACTGTGACAAGTGTTATAATAATGATAGTAGACGCGATATAATTCCAGAACTTGGAAGTGGTGGTATAACAGCGGGGACATAAAAAAAGAACAGGAGGGGCACCTGGGTGGCTCAGGGGGTTAAGCCTCTCCCTTCGGCTCGGATCATGATCCCAGGGTCCTGGGATCAAGTCCCACATCGGGCTCTCTGCTTGGCGGGGAGCCTGCTTCCTCCCCTCTCTCTGCCTGCCTCTCTGCCTACTTGTGATCTCTCTCTCTGTCAAATAAATAAGTAAAATCTTAAAAAAAAAAAACAGGAATCTGGCATTGGAGGATTGGAAAGAAGTGATTACAAAAAGAGGGAACAGCATGAGCAAAGGCATGACGGCAAAAGTCAAGAGTAGCTAACAACCACAGCTACCATTTGTTGAGTACTCAGTATCTGCTAGGCACTCTTTCAAATCCATCACACATCATCCCATTTAATCCTCACAGCAACCCTGAGGTAGATAACACCATGATCTGCATACTCCAGATGAGGAAAGCCAGGATTAGAGAGGTAAAACCACTTGCCCAACAACCCATGATTAGCAAATATTAGTTGAAGCTCTTTTTCGTCCAATTTAAAAGACAACAGCATAATGTGATCATTATAAATCTGTTTTGACAATCATGCACACTATTAAGATGTCATCTGTCTGGCAATAACAGCACAAGGAAGGAAGGAGGGAAAGGTGCTACATAGGAGCAAAGTTTCCGTATAATATTGAAATTAAATTAATCCAAACCAGACTGGGTAAATTGAGGCATTAATTGTAATCTGTAAGGTAACCACTAAGAAAATCATTCAAAAAAAATAGTAAGAAATGACAAGAGAATAAAAATAGTACAGTAGAAAAATATCTATTTAACGCAATAGAAGGCCAAGATCTCAAAGAAAGGCCCGAACCCCTATGTTCATTCAGCAATATTCACAACATGCGCAGGGCCTGGTAACTAGAAGGAGGCAGAACTGGGAAATGAACTGCTGTGTGTGTGTAGAGTGTAGGCTTGGTGTGCATGGGAGAGTGCCTGCAGGTGTGCGTGCACGTGCTCGGGTATGTGCGTGTATGTGTGTCTGTGTCTGTGTCTGTGTGTCTAACTCTAAAGCCTGTGCTTGTAGCTTCTATCAGTACCTCTCCCCTTTAATATACAGTTATGAGTTGTTGTTATTGTTGTTTATAATGAAATTATTTAAAAATTATCTAAAAATTAAAAAATTACTTTAAAATAATGAAATGATTTTTTAAAATTATAATGAAATTATTTAAAAATTTCTCTAAAAGGTGGGGCACCTGGGTGTGTCAGTCAGTTAAGCATCTCTCTTTTTTTTATTTTAAGATTTTATTTATTTGGCAGAGAGAGACAGCGAGAGAGGGAACACAAGCAGGGGGAGTGTGAGAGGGAGAAGAAGACTCCCCACTGAGCCGGGAGCCCAATGTGGGGCTCGACCCCAAGACTCTGGGATCATGACCTGAGCCAAAGGCAGACACTTAACAACTGAGCCACCCAGGCTCCCCAAGCATCTGAGTCTTGATATCAACTCAGGTCTTGATCTTAGGGCATGGAGCCTACTTAAAATAAAAATAATAATAATAAAAGTAACAAAATAAAAATAGAAATAGGTAACAAATGCATATGGTATACGATGCAAAACTTTTTAAAAAAAGAGTGAAAAGTAAATCTGATACAAAATAGTCTCCTTTACACTCCTGTCCCCCAGCCACACAAAAACCCACCCAGGACACAACCACCATTATTTAAATTTGTTTTTCAATTTTTAATTTTTTTTTTTTACTTTTACAAAACTATGGCTATAAACCTGAGCCCCATGATTATGGATTTCTGCTCAAATTTTTGAATTTTTCTGTGTAAGACATTCTTCCAAATGTTTTGAATCCCAATTTGCTCCCATAGAAAACATGATGAAAACAGCTCATAGTGCGTTGCAAATGCTAATGCTTTTCAGACATTAATTGTTTAATTTGGCTAATCAAGCTTAGTGATACAGTATATTCTAATTCTTTTACATCTATTTCAATGATGTAACTTCTTTTTGCAGTAAGATGGGACATCTGTGTGATGAAAAATGGGCCATTATTATTCATCTTGAGCCACGAAGCCAGAGATTTAGGGGCAATTTGTATTTATTTCCTCTATAGTGCCTAGCATAATGCCTTAAATATAATAAAAACAAAAACAAAACAAAACAAAAAAGACCGCAGTAAGTATGTTGAATGAGTAACTAAATAATGCAGAGAACAGTGAATGGCTTACTGACTGGCTCTAGCATGTAATATCCAGTATAATGACTTCTGCACAATGGCACTGCTTTGCCAAATTTATTCAGTTTTGGATTCATTTGAGGCTCAAACTGGAAGCAACAGATATCTGAAGTATTGTCAAGGACATCGCTTTCTTACAGAAATGTAATAAAGCATTCACCTCAGAAAAGACCACCCATTCTTGTTCCCTTGAAAAGAATTATAGGAAAAGCAGATGGCTCTATTCAAGGTGGGGGAGGGGAGGGGAGGGCATTGTCTGTATTTTAAACCAGTTAAAAATTCTGAGGTTCCCGTATTTGATGTGCAAACTTGTAACATTCAAGCCTTTCAATGATCTAATCTTTTTCCCTGGAGTTTTGAGAGAAACCAGCCACATGGAGATGAATGATTACGGGGCTACAGAACCCATCACTGTATTGCATGCCTTATTGTGTGACACGCAGTCACAGACCATTATTGAAGCATTTGCTCTCACTTTGTCACTATTCAGAATATAACGTAACCAAATTCACTATGTGTAACTTTCACTATTGGACCTCTTCTGCTATTGCGACATCCTCTCAGCATCACGGATGTGGAGACTTCGTAACAAGTAGAAATTAACGTACCATGTGACAATTAAGATAGAATCCACTACTTTCTCCTTAAAAAAAAAAAAAAAGCTATCCTTCCTAACAAATCAAGGAAAGAATATTAGAAGTGAAACGTGCTATGGACTGCATTGTGTTCCCCGCCCCCATTCATTTGTTGAAACCCTAATCCATAATGTAATGGTATTTGGAGGTGAGGCCTTTGTGAGGTGATGAAGCTTAGATGACGTCACGACAGTAGGGCCTTCATGATGAGATCGGTGCCTTTATGAGAAGAGACACCAGAGTTCACCGTCTCTGCCTGCCATGTGAGGAAACACTGAGAAGGCAGTCATCTACAAGCCAGGAAGACAGCCCTCACCAGGACCCAACCCTGTTGGTGCCCTGATCTCTGACATCCCTGTCTCCAGAACTGTGAGAAATCAAATTTCTATTGTCTAAGCACCGCCCAACCCCTGTCTATGGTATTTTGTTATGGTAGCCCAGACTAACTAAGGAAATGAAACGCAGGAAATAAAAGGAAAGGAATGAAAGGAAATGAAAGTGCCGGGCACCCGGGGGGCTGGCTCAGCTGGTGAAGTGTCTGCCTTCAGCTCAGGCCATGATCCCAGGGTCCTGAGATTGAGTCCCGGGTGGGGTTCTCTGCTCATTGGGGAGTCTGCTTCTCCCCCCTCCTCCCACTCATTCTCTCTCTCTCTCTCAAATAAATAAATAAGATATTTTTTAAAAAAGAATTCAACAAAATGTGAAAGAAAGAAAGAGAGGGAAGGAGGAAGGAAGGAAGGGAGGGAGAAAGAAAGAAAGAAAGAAAGAGGAAGGAAGAAACCCAAAGTGGGTCAGCACTTCATCAGCGAGGTTCTGTGGGAAGAGCCCTGGACAGGATGCCAGGAGGACTCTCAGTTATGTACAGCCTGGGCTCTGTCACTGACTTCCCATGTGACCTCGAACACCTGCTCCCCAGCTTGGCCACCAGTCTCCCGTCTCTATAATCAGGGGGCGGAGGGAGCTACTAGCACCCACCCCGAGCAGCTGCACCCACTCCCCCTGGGACAAGGACCCTACCTGGGAGCAGCAGTCACTACTGATACCGCAAGAACCAGGTGAGACAGGAAGAAAGGATCAGGGAAGCCAGTAACAAGGGGAGCAACAAAAGGTGGTATGTAACGCGAGCTATATAACGAGATGCGCATTTATGAACTCTGCTTCCAGACCAAATCTCAAACTCGAACACAGCGGCACCAAAGCCGTCCCTCTGTCCTAGAGGGTACGATGTACAAAAAGATGAAAGGAATGCAGATACCACGGAGAGAATGCCGGCGCTACAGAGAACACAGGGGTCTCTCATCTCCTGTCTACTCCTCATTACCGCATACAGTGATTTTTTTCCAAGATGGAATCCAAGAAAGAGTATAATTGTGTAGAGAAAAGAGAACGAGCAATACTAACCCAGGACATAAGAGTGCCGTCAGCAGAAAATTTGTCTTCCAGTTAACACCTTTAAGTGCTGAGGAAGGAAAAGACAGAAATAGTTACTGTAGCAACTTATTTAGCCCAATTACAACTACTTTATACCCAGGGCCCAATTACATTTTGGTAGGCCGGTTAAAATGCCCCATGCAATGTTTAAATGTTTTCTTTTACGGCCTTTTAATTTCTACATTTAACACACCAACTAACCGGAATGATAACAGTTACGACGCTTACTTTTATACATTCTGGCGGACACATATCCGGCAGGGGTTCCCAAGAGGACCCATAACACGACGGCACAGGTCATTAAGGCCCCTCGATTGGCGGGGGACAGAAAACCAAAGCAGGCTAGAACTAAAGGTACAAAAAAGAAATATCAAAGCAGTGACGGTAACAGTCTCAGAGCCACACAAGATTTTGTAATAAATTTAAGATCTGCTCATTAAGACCCATTATGTGTAACAGCACACAAGGAAATTCTGTGGTGTGAGTACTTAAATGACAGTGGGAACGACTGTTATTTACTTCGCTGATGACAATTTTTTTCTGAACGAAAAGGTGTGGTTTTTCAATACCGGGCAAATGAAGTCCGCTTCCAAGTGGGGTCTAGTCTTTAATCTCACTGTTGAAATCAAAATTAAACAAACTAACGCCCCGTTCCCTACTCCGGGATCACAACCTTAACGACAAATCATTTTTCCCCACAAAAATTTCCTTCTACTTCCTTTTATTCAATGTGAGGGATAAAAACAAAAAAATCAAGGTGAGACTTAGTCTCAAGAAAATATAACCTTAGGAGCTGAATTTTGAAATTATCATTGACATGTGAAACACCTAATAAGCCTTTTTTTCTTTTTAACAGCAGCTTTGTTTACAAAAATCACCACTCTGGGGGCACCTGGGTGGCTCAGTGGGTTAAAGCCTCTGCCTTCGGCTCAGGTCATGATCCCGGGGTCCTGGGATCGAGCCCCGCATCGGACTCTCTGCTCGGCGGGGAGACTGCTTCCTCCTCTCTCTGCCTGCCTCTCTGCCTGCCTCTCTGCCTGCCTTTCTGCCTACTTCTGATTTCTGTCTGTCAAATAAATAAATAAAAAATCTAAAAAAAAAAAAAAATCACCACTCTGGCTATCAAAACCTGACAAGCTCCATATTCACTTTATAAATGAAGGCAGCCAGGGTTTGTCAGCTGTTGTAAGACTACTCAAGAAGCCATTGCGTTTATACTTTTTTTTTTTTTTTTTTGCGTTTATACATTTAAAGACCAGTGCTTAGGCTTCCCATAGCATTTCAAAATGCTAGTCATTAGAGGAAGCTGGGTGGCTCAATGGGTTAAGCCTCTGCCTTCAGCTCCTGTCCTGGTCTCAGGGTCCTGGAATCAAGCCCCGCATCAGGCTCTCTGCTCAGCAGGGAGCCTGCTTCCTCCTGCCTCTCTGCCTACTTATGATTTCTGTCAAATAAACAAATAAAATATTTTAAAAAAATGCTAGTCGTTAATTATGAATTCCCTTAGTCCATGTTAAATATGCTTCTGCCCACATGCTGATTTTCTTTCTTTCTTTCTCTTTAATTTGAGAGAGAGAATGAAGGGGAAAGAGAGCATGAGAAGGGGGGAGGGTCAGAGGGAGAAGCAGACTCTCCGCTGAGCAGAGAGCCCGATGCAGGACTCAACCCCAGGATTCCAGGATCATGACCTGAGCCAAAGGCAGTCGCCCAACCAACGGAGCCACCGAGGCCTCCAATACATGCTGATTTTCAAGAAAGCATTTATTTCTCAAAGCAAGGAATATGGGTATTGGATAGTACAATAAATTATTCAGAACTGAAGAAAGCCACGAAAGGTCCTTGACATAGGAACGTATTCAGAGTTCTATCCTTAATTTGCAAAGATGGAAATATAAGTACCATAAAACACACATTTTCTTAAAACTTCAGGGTATCTTCAAAATCCTTTTGTGCACGTGGATCAAAATTTAACATACGTCAGCAGTTGACTAAGAATGTTTAAGGTGACACCAACTGATCTGAGTCTACTCACATAAGGTAATAAATGTCATAATCAAAACTTGTGTTCCTTGCCCCAGGAAAGCTGACAGCAGCATTCTGTTCCTTGGAGGTCTGAATACATCCCCATGAACCAGCTTCCAACCGAAGTCCTCCTGGATGCCTTCCTGCATGTGAGAAAGTCTTTGGTAAATGCACACTGTGACCGAAAGTTACCGAAAATCTGAAAGTTACATGAAAATGAATTTTCCTCTAAAGACAGATTAATGGAAACCGGTAGCTCATTTTGGATACAGTGAGGTCTCTGGAAGGTAAGTGATCCTGCCATACAAGTAAGTTGCTCCCTTACTCTAAGGTTTGCACTGGGTGGGGGGCATTTTTCACCATATAAGGGCACACACCTGGCTTCATTTCATGAAGAAAGCAAAATCATTTAACACACAAAAGGAATTTAACCAATTTTATAGACATTGAAAATTCACCATACACAAAAGATGATAAAAGTCAAAACAGCATAAATGAGATGAAAACTAAATTTAACCTAAATGATAGCATTTTGCAATGTTTGGTACATTTATCTCTTGCTCCAAATTTATGAAAACCTTAAATAATAATATTCTGCAAGTTCAGAAACATACAAAAAGGAATGGAACCAGAGTTGATAGCAAATATTTCTCTAATTAGCTTACTTGTGCTTTTTAAAAATCTACACAACCCCATAATTTCTGATTTGGTCTAATAGGCAAAATGACTAGACATTGAAAATGTGCTGTATTCAAGGTATTATATACTCTAAGTACAAATATAACATTGACTACTGGGCATTTAGATATGTGCTGAATCAAATATGTGCATTTTTACTCACAGAATTCATCTGATTATATCTGATCATATCTCTATGGAGCGTTCTTAATAGAATCATAGCCACCATCCCAGACAAGAAGAGAGCAATAACGAAGGAATTCATAATACTAGAAAATTTAAGGAAGAAAAAGAGAGAAGTTAGGTCTCAAGGTCCTTAAACAGTGAAGAGAAAATGTGTGTACGTATAAAAGAAAGACATGCAAATTATCGTTACAGTGATCAGCTTTCCAAGGTTAAACTTAGATCAAATGCTGAATGCATCAACATATTAAACCAACTTCAAGCTCTAGCATAAAAGGGCATTACAAATAAAGCAATACAAGCAACACTATTCTTCAGGTGATTTTAGAATTTTTTTAAGAGTACATTCCCAGGGGCGCCTGGGTGGCTCAGTGGGTTAAGCTTCTGCCTTCAGCTCAGGTCATGATCCCAGGGTCCTGGGATGGAGCCCCGCATCGGGCTCTCTGCTCAGCAGGGAGCCTGCTTCCCCCTCCCCATCTGCCTGCCTCTCTGCCTACTCTTCATCTCTGTCTGTCAAATAAATAAATAAAATCTTAAAAAAAAAGAGTACATTCCCAAAAAGAAGCAAGGAAAGTAAATAAGATCAATAACAGGAACTCAGTTCCAGAGCATGGAACTGAGAACGAAAGTTCAGGAATCAAGGTTGAACTAATGGCGGACCGACTTCTTCGCTGATAAACCAAGGTTGTAGTCTTTTTGTCATTCTATGAGCTTCAGGGTAATGACCCCATGGACGACTGACCTGCCAGCTCTTACTGTTACTAAAACTAAGACTTGAAAATTATCCCCAAATCACAACCAGTACGTCTGCCATCCCACCACCCAGCCAAACCCAGACACATCAACAGATTCCACCAGAATCTATGAAAAGACCAGCACTGTTTTAGAAAGATGCCGATAAGATGATGGATATCTACGACTGCCTGAGAGGGGGTGGTGGAGGGATGGGCAACACAGGTGAAGGAGGGCAGGCGGGGCAGATTTCCAGTTCATGGAATGAGTAAGTCACAGGGATAAAAGGTGCAGCCTAGGGAATGTCCTGAATGGTATCGAAATGGCACTGTATGGGGACAGATTGTATAGGGAACATGGCAGAACGTGTAGACTTGTCCAATCACGATGTCTTACACCTGAAACTCATATAACATTGTGTGTCAACTAGACTTTTGGATATAAATAAATAAATAAGCCAGCCAGCCAGCCAGCCCTGGGGATGAAAGGTACAGCACAGGGAATATAGTCAATAATATTGTATTAACTGTACGTGGTGACAGATGGTAAGTACACCTATCACGGTAAGCATTTCGCAATGTACATGATTGTCAAATCACCACGTTGTACACCTGAAACTAATAATATCGTCCGGCAGCTATACTTCAATTAAAAAGTTTTAAAAAGATGACTGACTTCTAAAATGTCTGTTAAATGTCGAAAGTAAATTAGCTCATAACAGAAACTGAAGTACATTCCCTCATTACGCTATAAAGATCACTACTACTAGAGATTAGCCCCCACAGTGTATCCGGAGGCCCTTTGCTTTCACAGTCCCTTTGGAGAAACCATTCACCTAAATTTTATCTGAAGAGACTTCTGGGGGTATAAGAAAATGGGACCTGGACAGTCGCCCAAAGAAAAGACTCAATGGAAAAGCTATGATATGATCATAATAATGAAGAAGAAAAGGAGGAGGGACAGCAGGAAGAGAAGAAGGAACAAATCTAGAAAAATAGGAGTGGGGGATGCTGTTCTCACTTTTTTTAAGATTTATTTATTTAGAAAGAGAGAGAGAGAATGTATGCAGGGGGTAGGGGCAGAGGGAGAAGGAGAGAGAGAATCTCCAGCAGACTCCCACTGAATATGGAGCCCAATTTGGGGCTCGATCTCACCACCCTGAGATCATGACCTGAGCTAAAAACAAGAGTCAGACACTTACCAACCACACCACCCAGGTGCCCCGCTATTGTCACTTCAAAGGCAATGTCAATATTAGGAAAATCATCACCTCAAAAGACCATACTCAGAATCACACCTTTCCTCACTTTCATTTTTACCTTTATAGTCTTCTTCCACCCCAAATTGAGCTAACACCCTACCCCTCCCTCAGGACTTTGCCACAGTCATGCCCGATCATCACGTTCTCAGCTGGTCTATCCCTCTGTCTCAGGTTGAAATTCTAACTCTGTGGCTTGGCCCTGTTGAAGATTCCTGAGGAATCAAGCACTTTCCCCGGAATCCACTAGAACGTGGTAAGCTTCATGGGAGCGGAAGCCTGTGTGCCTCACTCACACTGTCTCACAGCCCAGCAGAGTGCCCGGCCGCCTAAGATAGACGAGGAAGAACTCCAATGGAATGAGTGGCCCTTCGCTCACTTTTCCTCACACAGTCCTCTCCAATATCTGCCCTGCCCATAATAAAATAATAAATAATAAAGCTGCTCTTTCCCTTCAGCAGAAACATTCATGTATTTAAGACACATCTTCCTTTCTTACTTTTTCTCTGTGTATGCAGAGGGGTGGGAGAGAGGAAGGAGTGGAGAAACTAGCCATAGAGAAGAAAAAACGTCACTCAAGATAATCTCTGGTAACAAAATAATTTTAAAAAATAGGGCTGCCTGGGGGCGCCTGGGTGGCTCAGTGGGTTGAGACGCTGCCTTCGGCTCAGGTCATGATCTCAGGGTCCTGGGATCGAGCCCCGCATCGGGCTCTCTGCTCAGCAGGAAGCCTGCTTCCCTTCCTCTCTCTCTGCCTGCCTCTCTGCCTACTTGTGATCTCTCTCTGTCAAATAAGTAAATAAAATCTTTAAAAAAAAAAATAGGGCTGCCTGAGTGGCTCGGTTGGTTAAGCAACTGACTCTTATTTCAACTCAGGTCATGATCTCAGGGTTGTGGGATCGAGCCCAGCGTCGGGCTCTGCGCTGGGCATGGAGCTTCTTTGGGACTCTCTTTCCCTCTGCTCCCTCACCCTTAAAAAAAAAGGTATCAAAAATATGTATATATATATGTATGTATAGGGGCGCTGGGTGACTCAGTCAGTTAAGCCTCTGACTCTTGATCTGGGCTCAGGTCATGATCTTGGGGTCCTGAGACTAAGCCCTGCATCAGGCCCCATGCTCAGTGGGGAGTCTGCCTGACGTTCTCTCTCTCCCTCTCCCTTTGCCCCTACCCTTGCTCATGCTCTCTAAAATAAAATCTTTTATATGTATATATAATACAAATAAATACTTACATCTCCCTCCCTTAAACTATGTATTCTTTGTGTCATAAACTACTTACATAGGGGCACCTGGCTGGCTCAGCTGGAGCAGCGTGAGATTTGATCTCAGGGTCATGAGTTCAAGCCCCACATTGGGAGTAGAGATTACCAAAAATAAATTAATTAATTAAAAAATAAAAATAAAAAATAAAATCTTAAAAAAAATAAAATAAAATAAAAATAAAGTACTTACCTAAACCACTGAATGTTGGTATGAGGCATGGACTCCAAAATATAATCCCATCTAGATGCCCACCTGATATTTCTGTTTTCCTAAAAAACAAAAATATATAATTACATGACCAAACTGTCACTGACCTTTTTCCTGGTTATAATCCTAAAACAGGCAGAAAGTTATTCTGCATGTACTTTCTCCATTTCTTTATCACTAAGTTCATGGAATAATGAGACGTAACCTGGCATTTTTATCTTATTTTTATTAACTGATATTCCTCTTCATTTTGGGAAGAGACTAGGAAGAAAGTAATTTTAGCTCGCTGCTATTCCCCAGAAGTCGCAAACTTTTTTAAAAAAAAACAGACTGTCTAAGGGATCCTGGATGGCTCAGTAGATTATGCGTCTGCCTTCACCTCAGGTCATGATCTCAGGGTTCTGGGACCGAGCCCTGAGTTGTGCTTCCCACTCAGCAGGGAGTCTGCTTGTCCCTCTGCCCCTCCCCCTACTTGAGCACGTTCTCTCTCTCTCAAATAAATAAAAATTAAACAAAAATAAAACAGACTATTCATTAACTTAAGGTCATCTGTACATTCAATGTGGGGCTCGAACTCACAACCCTGAGATCAAGAGTCCCACGCTCTTCCAACTGAGCCAGCCAGGCATCCCTACATTTTTTTTTCATCCCTACATTTTTATACATTGAGAATTTTGAGATGTAATGGCAACAAGTTTATAAAAAGATGTTTTGTTTTCAAATATTGTAATTTTCAACACTGAATAAACCACAAGAAAATACAATTACCAATCAAGCTGTTTCTGCTGATGTGTGATCAAACTCAAACGGTCAGTAGCTTTCTTACAAAATATCCCCAGTAGATGAAGATCTTAACTGGTAACCCCAATAAACACTTACACCATTAATACAGAGTAATCACCCCTCAAATCAATAACATGCTCTCAGCAAAAGGAAAATGCTGGTACAAATTGATCAAGTAATGTCTGAAATTACTTATTTAAAATTGGGTACTTGTAAGGCAAAATCAGAGAGGGACAGAAACCATAAAAGATTCAACTCTAGGGGCGCCTGGGTGGCTCAGTGGGTTGAGCCGCTGCCCTCGGCTCAGGTCATGATCTCAGGGTCCTGGGATCGAGTCCCGCATCGGGCTCTCTGCTCAGCAGGGTGCCTGCTTCCCTCTCTCTCTCTGCCTGCCTCTCCGTCTACTTGTGATCTCTCTCTGTCAAATAAATAAATAAAAATCTTTAAAAAAAAAAAAAAAGACTCAACTCTAGGAAACAAACTGAGGGTTCATGGAGGGGAGAAGGGTGTAGGAATGGGGTAACCGGGTGATGGGCATTAAGGAGGACACGCGATATAATGAGCACTGGGGGTTATAGAAGACTGATGAATCACTGACCTCTACCTCTGAAACTAGTAGTACACTATATGTTATTTACTTGAATTTAAGTTAAAAAAAAAATAAAATACGGGTGCCTGGGTGGCTCAGTTGTTAAGCAGCTGCCTTCAGCTCAGGTCATAATTCCAGGGTCCGGGGATCAAGCCCCACATCCGGCTCCTTGCTGGATGGGAAGCCTGCTTCTTCCTCTCCCATTCCCCCTGCTTGTGTTCCCGCTCTCTATCTCTGTCTCTCTCTCTGTCAAATAAATAAATAAAACCTTTAAAATAAATAAAATAAAAGTGGGTTTTTGTTAGGTGTTTTTTTCTGAAGTTTAGAGTTGGGAGTATGGAGAAACTCAATGTGCATTGCTTTTTTTTTTTTTTTTTTCACAAGTAGGCTCCAAGCCCAACATGGGGCTTGAACTCAACCTTGAGATCAAGAACTACATACTCTACTGAGACAGCCAGGTGCCCCTAAGATGCCTTGCTTAAAAAAAAAAACCCAAGGGGCACCTAACTGGTTTAGTTGGTAGAACATGCATGCGACTCCTGATCTCAGGGTTGTGAGTTCAAGCCCCAAACTGGGTGTGGAGACTACTTAAAAAAATAAAAATTTTTAAAAATCCAAATGATAGATTTTAATTGGGGTTTGGTTCAATGGTGGATTTTAGTTAAAAGCTGATGACCAGGAGATTGTGATTAACCAGTGACAAGGCAGGTTAACATCACATGCGACCTAATGTGCAACATCACTTCTGCCATGTAATCTCTGCCCAGAATGTGGCCTGAGCCTGTCCATAAAGAACCATCAGACAGATTAATGATCATCCTGCAGGTTGCCAAGTCCTGACTCTATAAAAATTTCAAGGATGTGGAAGACAGTGGAAGACAGAGAAAGAACCAGTCTGGATTGGAGATCACAAACTAAACAACACACACTCCTGGATAGGATCTCAAACCACAAAGGGAAAAAGTGACATTTTTGGCCAACTGGTGACATTTGAATGGATGGATGTGGACCAGATGGGAATGAGATACCGATGCAGATTCCTGATTTGGAATCACTATGCTAGTGGTATGCTATGCTAGTAGGAAAGTGATCTTGTTTGGGAGAAAGACTCTGGAGTGTTTGGGGGTGTTGGAACACCTAGCTCTCCAAAGATTCAGAGAAAGACTAAGGCTAATGGACACACAAGGGTGAAGAATGCAGCAAAATGAGTAAAATGGTAACGATTGGGACATCTGATTAAAGGGACTACAGGAGTTCTTTGCATTGTTCTGACAATCTTTCCATAGTCTGAAACTGTTTCAAGATAAATCATTATTTAAAACCTATAAGGAGGGGCGCCTGGGTGGCTCAGTTGGTTAAGCCGCTGCCTTCGGCTCAGGTCATGATCTCAGGGTCCTGGGATCGAGCCCCGCATCAGGCTCTCTGCTCAGCAGGAAGCCTGCTTCCCTTCCTCTCTCTCTGCCTGCCTCTCTGCCTACTTGTGATTTCTCTCTGTCAAATAAGTAAATAAAATCTTTAAAAAATAAATAAATAAATAAAACCTATAAGGAGGGGTGCCTGGGTGGCTCAGTCAGTTAAACATCTGCCTTTGGCTCAGGTCATGATCTCAGGGTCCTGGGATCGAGTCCCGCATCAGGCTCCCTGCTCAGCGGGAATCCTGCTTCCCCTTCTCCCTCTGCCTGCTGCTCCCCCTGCTTGTGCGTGCTCTGTCAAATAAATAAATAAAATCTTTTTAATAAATAAATAAAACTTATAAGGAGGGGTGCCTGGGTGGCTCAGTCGGTTAAGCGTCCGCCTTTGGCTTGGGTCATGATTTTAGGGTCCTAGGATCGAGCCTGGCATCAGGCTCCCTGTTCTGCGGGGGACCTGCTTCTCCCTCTTCCTCTGCCTACTGCTCCTCTTGTGCTTTCTCTCTTTCAAATGAATAAATAAAATCTTTAAGAAAATAAAAATTAAAGTTAAAAAACCTATAAGGAGGGCGCCTGGGTGGCTCAGTGGGTTGAGCCGCTGCCTTCAGCTCAGGTCATGATCCCAGGTCCTGGGTTCAAGCCCCACATCGGGCTTTCTGCTCAACAGGGAGCCTGCTTCCTCCTCTCTCTCTGCCTGCCTCTCTGCCTACTTGTGATTTCTCTCTGTCAAATAAATAAATAAAATCTTTAAAAAAAAAAAAAAAAAAACTATAAGGAAATCAGAATTCATAGACAAATAAAGGGTTAAATATTCATTGCATGAAAGCATGTATCTTAGCCATTCTATTAAAATATTGTTTCTACAGTAAAATGTGACTTAATTTGTAAAAATTTGAATTACAGGCATCTTCTTCACCAGTCTATTGCCTTGAGCATGTTAACTCATATCAAGTCTTTCAAAACGGACAAATATTTTAAAATATGCGCCAGGAAGTTTGGATTTTAAATACAAAGAGAGCTTGGAAAAATCTGCATTTGTTAAACCTAATAGTTTTGCACCCAACACTGCCATCTGCTGGAAATAACAGACCATAACACATATTACTCTTCCTAAGAGAATAAGAAACCATTTAAAAATCCTACTGCACATTTGAGAACAAAATGACAAAAGCAGACAGATAACTAAGTGGTGAAACCTATTTCCTTAATCCACGGAAAACTAATGAGTTATTCTGCTTCTTTCCATGCCAGAGTTTCAAAGAAAACATTCATGTTTTCTAAGACATAACAAATTCCCCTAAAACAAGTCCTTAATGTTGTCTATACTGGAGACACATAAGCCAAGTTGGAAACACACACACAGGACTTCTAGAGTCCTGACACAGTGTCCCATGATGGATCTCACTCAATAAATAATCAGGCAGGGGCTCCAAGAATCAAATGGGCAGACAACTAGGACTTCTTCCAGTCCAGATGTTTTCAACATGGGGAGCAGCACCCCCTAGGAGGCCAAATGAAAATGTGTATGGATATATCCAGTGTTCTGCAGCAGAGAACGCGCCAGACTTCCTACAGGGCACTGGGAGACCAACACGGCAACAAATTGAGAAAAACTTCCAAAGCGCCACCCAATATGGTTTGAGGGAAAGACCGCTTATGATTATGATCTGCGGAAAGCTGAGGTGGTTCAGTCGGTTGTGTCTGCCTTTGGGGGCACCTGGGTGGCTCAGTGGGTTAAAGCCTCTGCCTTCGGCTCAGGTCATGATCCCAGGGTCC